TTATCTACTTTAAAAAGAATAATAAATAAATAAAATAAATAAAAACCTTTCAAGAATAAGAACAACTTTACAAGGCATAAGAAACGCAATCCCTAGCAGCTAGGGCTAAGATGTCGATTGTAAAATGATTAAGAGCAACATCACGAGGAAGATAAGTGTAGACACTAAAATTTTATGGACTTTTGTTTTGACAAATTGGCCCATTAAATATGAGTCTCATGTTTAATTAAATTATTTAATTGGCCCAAACTTAGTCCACTTAAATTATTTAATTAGCTCAGCCCAGATTATTAAATAAAAAGATAATTATTCCTAGTAAAATATATTTGCAATAATTATTTTATAGATAATCATCACAATATAGCCGGCCCAACCCACTTATGATTTTGTCCTTATCAGAGAGGACACGTGTCATCATCCTATTAATCCAAGAAGCCTATAAATAGAAGCCTGGAGAAAGGAGGAAGGGAGTCCAGAAATTCAGAGACTCAGAAATCCAGAGGGCTAGAACCAACACTCAAACCTGAAGGCGAAGAGCAACAAGCACATCAAATCGTGTCGTTCTTCATCAAAATTCCACAGTGATTAACAACAAGCACATCCAAAGTCGTGCCATTCTTCACCAAATTCAACAAATTCTCTCTAAAGAAGATGAACAACAAGCACATCCAAAGCCATGCCGTTTTTCCTCAAATTCAACAAAGAACAAAAAGCACACAAAATCGTGCTGTTCTTTCCTTGCTATTCAACATTTATGAAGAATCACCAAAAAACACTATTCGAGATCAAGCTTCATCAACCCTCGATCAGAAATTATCGGTGATCTTCCTCAATTACAAATACTTAAAGAAGATTGTCAACAACGTGATTCAAGATCAAGCTCCTATAGCCCCTAGATCCAACCAACAAAGGAGATCGAATCAGAGGACAAGTTCTTTCTTTTGTAAAGAATATCTTAGAGGATTGTTTTCCAATTTTCCCAAATTAATAAAATTCTATTTGCTCCATATTTTGTTCTTTTTTTGCAGACTACGAAATTTGTGTGTACAAATTTTTGGCACGCCCGGTGGGACATCCTTTGCCTCTCATCTCTTTCTTCAACATCAAATCTTCAACAAATTCTCATCGTCAGAATTTATGGCTTTCAACAAGATTCAGACGAAGAACAAGAATACCACCAAGGACATCATAGTCGTGACAGACAACATCATTACCACCACAAAAGGTGGCAAGAAGGTTGTAACTTCGGTAAGTGGTACGAATGCCTCTGCAAGTTCAATGATGTGGAGCATGGTCAAATCATCCGTTCCTGCCAAAAGACAGCACGATGTGATGAAAGTTGATTCCGCTAAATCTAACAAAGTAACAACTCAAACTCATACCGCCTTCACCTCGCTGAGGGCAATGAGGAAGGTTCCTACAACCTCAAAGGTTGTTCCAGTCACTATGCCAGTCATGATGACGAGTACTACCTCGTATGAAAAGCAATTGACGAGTATGGCTCGTGCAATTGAAAGATTACAACACACTCTCAATGAGCAAGATCTGAAAATTGCCTCACTGACAGAAAAGTTAAAATTGCGTGACGACAATGCTGAGTCAAGCAAAGGCCGAATTCTTCATTCTAATTCCATGCCAGAGACTGCTCCAATTGACGATCAAAATGACATGTCCGCTAATCCAACAATTGAAGCTGCCTCTGTTACCTCACTTTCTGTCCAACAACTTCAAGACATGATAGTGAATTGCATAAGAGAACAATACAGTGGTGTTCCTCAAAGTGCTCGCATGTACTCAAAGCCTTACACAGAAAGAATTGACATCTTAAAAATGCTGATTGGGTATCAACATCCAAAGTTTCAACAGTTTACTGATTGGGCCGATTGCCAGATACTCGTCATTCACCACAGGTTACTACATTTTTCTTGGCCCTAATTTAATCTCTGGGTGTGCCAAGAAACAACCAACACTCTCTCGCTCTAGTGTCGAAGCTGAATATCGTGCACTTGTCTATACTTGTGCTGACACAGTTTGGATTCAAAGTCTCTTGCAGGAACTTCATCTTCCCTTTATCTCTCCAACTGTAATCCACTATGATAACCTCAGTGCCACCTACATGGTTGCCAATCCGGTGTTTCATGCACGCACTAAACATATTGAATTAGACTCTCACTTTGTCCACGAACATGTTACAGACAGCACTCATTGAATTCAGTTTGTGTCTTTGACGGACCAGCTTGCTGATATATTTACCAAAGGATTACCCAAGCTAAAATGTTTCTCACATCTCAATTCCAAACTCGTCTTACCTCCGCCGTCACGTTTGCGAGGGATATTGGATGAATATTCTAGTCTCCATGAACTGTGGGATTACACAATATAAATTAAAGAGAAATATATATTAGGAGTGTATAGCTAGCTCTTATAATTCTTAGATTGCTTTAATCATGGTTTATGTTTCCTTTATTAGTTGTACTCTATTATATATACCATCAATTTATCTTCTTTAAAAAGAATAATAAAATAAATAAAAACCTTTCAAGAATAAGAACAACTTTACAAGGCATAAGAAACACAATCCCTAGTAGCTAGGGCTAAGATGTCGACTGTAACATGATCAAGAGCAACATCACGAGGAAGATGAGCTTTGAACAGTTTGGTTAGAATTGTGCACAGTATACTTACACACAAGATACACACATGAAACTCGCACAAGCAGGTATGGAGGGAAGGGGGGGCCGGCGGGGGCCATGGCCCCCCCTAATTTTTTGGAAATTTTTTTTTAGTATAGTTAAAAATAAAATAATATAGTATATATAGTATAAAATCTATACTTGGCCCCCCTAAGAAAAAAAAAATTATTTCTTTAATTAGAATTTAACAAAAGATAGTTTATATAGTGGTTTAATTAACGACTATAGAATCCTGATAAAAATTAATTCACATAAAAATTTAATGTGGCTATCTTAAAATTTCAATTCAAATATCGTTTTTTCCATAATGTGACTACAAGTACGATTCTTTCCATAACCTTATTATTCTAAAATTCCATCTCATACATGATTCTTTCCATCACTTTTTTTTTTTTTCCTTCTTTTTATTCATATTGATTGAAATGCTTTTATAAGAATTCTATAAGAAATTAATTTTTACAAAATCAAGAACAAAAATTTCATTTGAATTTTTGAATATCAACAAAAATTGATGATATAAGAATCTAAATTTTTATTTTATCAATCTTTTTTTTTTTTTTTTTTTTATCATTGTTATTTTTTTGTTAAATTTTCAATTGTTACATTTGTTTTAAAGTTATTTTTGTTTTGTTTTTCCTTTTCAGTAAATAAAGAGAGTTATTTAATTGAATTTTTTTTATAATTTTACCATAAATCTTATTTGTATTTGTTCAGAAAGTTTGATAAAAAATTTCTTTAAATAACTAGTTTTTTTTTATTTAAATAAATTGAAAAAAGTTTAAATATATATATTTTTATATGAATATAATAAATTGTAATATATTTTTGCCTACGTAATATTTTCTTTTTTTCCAAAGTTTTAGCTAGGTAATGTTGTTTATAATGTTGGCTCCCCAACCTCAAAATCCTGACTGCGCCCATGCGCAAGATCCACACAAAATTCAATGTTCGGCACATACTACTAAACAAAGTTCATGTTTGGCATATGATAACCGAATTTGGACAATTATGAGATGAGGTGGTCCCATATCCACCATTGAATTTTTACAGTCCCCACGTAGACCTATTGTGTGGTCCTCACCAGCAAATGTCACCCACCTTTGGAAACTCCGGAAAAAAAGATTCAACAGGTGATGCTAGGTATTTGAAATGACCCCACAGTGTGAGAATGGTGATGCCCTGAAAAAAAAAAGGTTTCCACACCCATGACAAAAAGACGTTAGGTTGGTAACTTAAATATCAGAAGGAGAATAGAAAAGGTAAAAGGAAAAGCTGAATATTTGAATTAATTGTCTCTCAACATGTCCTCCTGTGCTTTATATGATTGCCTTTTATATATGCGTATGTATGTATGTATGTATGTGTCTATATATATATATTGTCTTTGGCAAGAAACAATGGTCTCTCACCCTCTTATTTGTCTCTTTAGAGTAGTTCCAACCGTCCAGAATTTATAGATTCATTATTTATTTTGAAAATTCACCCTGAAAGGTAGAGAAGAATTGAGAGATATCAATAGCCTCCTCTTTAAATTAATACGGTACATTTTATATAAAATTAATAAAAATTGATAATTTAATTTGGTTGAATGAAGTCAAAAGAAATAGTAGAAAAGTTTGATCCTTTCCTGAGTATAATAAATAAATTTGGATTAATTACATTAACATGTCTTAATGTTTAGACAAATTTTACATAAGTGGAGCATTTAAAATTTACTATTTTGACCTCCCTTAGAGTAGGGAAATATGCATAAAATGACCAAATTGTTCTTATACTCATTTTATTTATTTATTAATTTACAAGATTTGTTTTAGGAGAGGGCGTGGTAGAGAGGAGAAAAAAATAATAAAAAAATGAAATAGAATAATTAATTTTTTAAATTTTATAATATATTTTATATTATAAAAATATATTATATATAAAGATGTAATTCAGTTTTTATAATTTTAAGGAAGGTTGAGTCACAAACCTCATAAGCTACACCTATTTAAAATTTACCCGTGAGAGGCAAGTGTAATTTACCAATAAATTTTGAAAACAATTTTTGGCATTATAATATTAGTACAACTTCCTTTCAAACCATTAAATGGGTACCTCAATATCTGTTCAATATCACACAATTTAACAAAAATAAATAAAAAAAATAAAAAAATGACAAGTATCATGATAGATACACTTCACCGAACATCAAGTCATCACTCATATAAAAATTAAAAAAAAAAAAAAAAAATGGTATTCTTAATTAACCACTGCAATTATTTAGTTCCCCACAAATCTACCACCATAAAACTCTTAATAAGTGACCCAATTTCTTTGATTAGGAAAGTGACCCCAATTTCAGAATCCCAAGAACCAAGCATTTCTTCTTTTTCTCTTTGCTTGCCGTTGACTGATGCACACTATTTATTCAGTAATCATCTCTCTCTCACTTTTTCTCCTTTTCTCTAACAAATTCTTTAAATACAAAAGTATTTACAGCCATTTAATTCATTCATGAGCATTAGGAGGAGATAAGTGGGTTTTCTTTACTCCATAGCTCTTCCCTAGGTTGGATTGTCCATGTCCAAGTCCCCAACCTTGGAGTTTGCAATGTCTAATTGTAATCCTTTCCATTCCTTTTCTCTCTTTTCACTCTTTTATAATTTCAATGCGCATCCAATTCACACACACACTTATATATATATATTTCTTATGGCATGATATTTGTGGGTTTTGTGTAGTTATGGATGATGGCACTACACCATATTTCTCAGCTCTTGATTCTGATTTCTCAACTGGTTATCTGGAAGATGCTTTGTTTGAATTTCACCACCCATCTAAAAGAAGGCGTTTCTTGTTCTTAGCTGATGATGACGATGATGATCATCAAACCAAGAATTTGAGTGATCCCATAAAGGTATTTTTTTTAATAGTTTATTTATTAAATGATTGTGTGCTTATATTTAGAAATTCAGAATTTGAATCTCATTTAATATTGCAGAGCTATTGGAACTGGAATTACACTCAGAATTATTCTGAGAATTATGATTATCTGAGCCAGATAACAACCAATTTGGATGGCTTTTCAGGTGATTGCTTACATTAATTAAATAATTAAATTCCCTGTGTTTTAATATTAACCCATGTTGTGCAATTGAAGTGACTTAAAGGTAATTGAGGGGGAAAAAAAATTAGCGTTTTTTTTTTTTTTTTTTTTTAAAGAGGGGAAAAAAAGTTGGTTAATTTAATGAAGGATTTATTAATAATATAATATTTAGTGCTGTGATTTATTATTAATTTGTGGTTGCAGGTGAAGCCATGAATGGAGGATCAGTGAGCAGAATGAGTGAGAATGCAACCATTTTCAAAGAAATGAAAACAGCAGAGGAGGGATTAGGGTCAATAACAGCTTCTGACACTTCTTGGTCATCTTCTGATAGAGACTCAGTTCACACCAAGTCCATATCTGACACAGAAACACTATATTCCACAGATCACATTTCTCCTTCCGGTAATTAATTTTCTCTCTTCCCTCTAAACCAAAACAAGAAAAACAAAATCCCTCCCCTCTTGGAGCGATACAGTACAACACCTGTGTTGTGCTATGCTGTAATCATCGATGCAGTACAATACCTATGTTGTGTCGTGCTTTAATCGTCACAACACCTGTGCTGTATTGTCGATGCAGTACAATGCCTATGTTATGCTGTGCTGTAATCGTCGATACAGTACAACACAACACTTATGTTGTGTGTTGTGTTGCGTTGCGCCATGTTGTAATCACCAATGCATTACAATACCTGTGTTGTGCTGTAATATTTCAATACAGGACAACACTTGTGCTGCTATGCTATGCAATTCAGTGTTGTGTTGCAGAGGGTCCGGACTCATTGGCTTTCTAAAGTGTTTTATTTTATTTGAAGGTTGGTCAAAATATATGTATAGTTGTTTTTGAATAGATTGACTACTCTCAATTAATGTTTAGGAGGACTAATTCGGCATCTTGGAAGTGTAAATTATTGAGAAAAAGAAAATAATTGGTTCAACATTAATGTTGATTCCTTCCATTTTAATTTATTTTAATTTCACAATGTCGATTTGTTTATCTCAAACACAAACCCTAATATATTTTAAATGGGAGTATACAAATTCTGAGTTCTGAGTTTTTTATTGTTACTCCAAACATTGACTTTGTAGTAGCATGAACAGATATTTACATATAGAGATGGGATTCACTTTCTTAAAATATTTTTCTATTAACATAAATGAAGACTTAATCATATTAAAAGGAGTTTAAAATATTGGTTTAATTAACATTTTCAGCCAAATTTAAAAATAGAATAAAAAAAATTCAATTTCAGTGAACACTCTCTTAATTCTAGAATTGTGGGCTTAACTGTACTAAGTCCCAACACACTCAATTTGCGTTGGTGAGACCAATATTGATGAAAAAGTCTTTGTGCGTGCACAAACAATTAACTAACACATATACAAGCATATATATCCATATATATATATAGATATATAAGTATGTAACAAATTATTTGGATGTGTTGGGTGTAGGAGTAGTTGATCATGGTAGGAGGAAGAAGAAGATGATGACAAGGGTGGTGTATCCATTTGCCGTGGTGAAGCCGGGAGGGATCGAAGGCGTCGTGACCTTAAAGGACATCAATGAGAGGATCCTAATGCCTCCGGTTCGGCCTGTAAGGCACCCGGTCGGGGACTTTGCTTGCCGGCCACTTGTTTCTGCTAATGGAACAGTAGGTCTGTCCGGCAAGGCCGTGACGGCCATCACAAGAATTCAGACACAAGGGAGAGGCACAGTCACAATTATCAGAACTCAAGGTTGAGAATTATGGTTGTATACAGGAGATAGTGAGTTCTTGCTTAAATTGCTGATGAATTTTAGCATGTTTGAATTGTATAGGGACAGATTATAAATGTGTTTCTCTTGTAATATATTCTCTTTTGCACATCAATTATACTTCATATTCTTAATCTCAAGTCTAGTTTGATTCAGTACTTAATTCTGAATCAATGCACTTAGATGTCACATTTTGAATACTTGGAATTTGGGGTTGGGGTTGGAGAAAATTTTAAATAAATTTTAAACTAGACTTTCTCCATTTCTAAATTTTAAATTCAATGCAACGATGTTCTCAAATATAACATTAAAATCTGATTGATCTGCCGCATAGTGATGAATGTTTATGACTTAATTCACTTTTGTGATTCGGATGTTTGTGGCTTAATTCACTTTTCTGATTCGGAATTTCGGGTGTATAGATTTAAAGGAGCTTCTTCATCCATTGAGAATAGATTTATCTATCCTTTTTTATTTCTTTTTATTTTATTTTGTTAGAAACTGTGGAAAAATATTATATCACTTTTCCCTTTTTCTTTTTGTTGTTTTTTTTTTTTGGGAAAAAAAGAAAAAGAAAAAGAAATCAACTTGCTGGGTTTTCCTTCCTTCCTGAAAATTAAATATGAATAAGCAGCATACAGGGTGTTATAGATATCTTTACATAGCTAGTTCATAATAAGTCAAACTTTTAATTTTTTTGGTAAATTTGAGTCTAATTGGTAAATTTGAGAGGTGGTCATTCATATTTGTGTTTGTATCTGACATTGATATCTTGTTATATGGGTTGACAAGAATATAATATCATTATTAATAGTGCCACTTTGACATGAAAATGAGACCAATATTACAAAGATACACTACTAAAAACGTTTAAATTTTTATTTTTATTTTTTATGAACGCGACATCTTTAGCTAAATGGATTATTTTGAATACAAATATAACATATTTATTTAATACAGTTAATCAAATGGACCATAAATGAGTTGATAAGTCAAACACGAATACAACATGTTTAATTACCGTGTCAATTCTGATCGAAGCGGTTATAATTCAAATGCAATTAAACTAAATTCAAACTCACTTATTTTTTGTCGTGTTAGCATCTCATGACAAATTTGAATTGAATTGTGTTGCATCGTTTTAAAATACTAGTTATCATATATAATTGTGAATCACAAGTAAATAACAGAAATAATGTATTATGTGGTAAATATATCACTATGATGATGTTGAAACAAAATGCTACACCCTACATGCACCATTTCAACGCATAATTCTTCAATTCTTATATTTGAGAAAAGTATTTATGTATGTATTTATGGCATGACACTCATACCAATAAAAATCCAAAGGTTTTCTAATAAGATTATTTGTTTTTCATTTCCTAATTTAATTTTCATATTCAAAAGTCAGAGTAATTGATTTATTTAAGTAAAATTGATGTCATCATGATATTATTAATATTTTTGACATTTTGATGAAATTAGCTCTTATTTACACATAATTGTTGAAATTTATTTGACTGTCGATCTCCCTATCATTACCTTAATAAAAAAATATTGAATTGTTGCGGTAAAATAATTATAAAAAAATAATAAATAAATAAATAAATAAAATATCATCAATTCTAACCAAATCCCACTAAAGACGTATATATGATTGATCATCCCCAATTGTAATCGGTAGAACATGATCTTTGAAGAAAAGCCACCAATGCCATTTATATACACAGAGCACCTCAATCATACTAAAATAATATTTGCACACATATATATGTTTTTGTGAAACATTAGTCTAATATTAATATACTAATTTTTGCTGGAACCCAAATTCTACAAGGGTACAGTAGTATGTCGTTTCTCTTGACAGGTCAACAATGCTTGTTGCTTATCCAAATTCAAACTTTAATTTAAGACAGTATCGAGCTGTGGGACCCAGTGAAAGACCCATTGTTGTTAAAGTTGTACTTGTCTCCATCACCCATCGGCTCTCTAGACAGTTGATAGCATTTGAATTGCTGAGATGGAAGGTTTTTAATAGCCATCCAACGGTGCTGATTTATGGAACACCAACTCCATGAAATCTCACAGTTGTATGGAAAAACCATAGCATGTGCCACCTACCTGGTTGAATATTTCGTGGGGCTGACAGGGAGTGATGTAGATTTGGCTTTTTGTCTGTTAGAAGCGTGAAATGATTGATTTTTGTAGGTGAATAAGCTTTTGACCATATTTCTGACCTTTTATTACTAGGTGTAATTTTATAAGAATCATTAAACTCATTTCTGTAGGTGTAGTTTTTTTTTTTTTTTTTGTTTCAATGAAAGTGGCTCAAATTTTAAAGATGCAATGCTCTAAGGGAATATGAAAAAAATGGCCCTAAGTTTAGGCTCTTGATGGAAGTCGCCAGAAAACAAGATTGAATTGGCGATTTGCGAGCCTGTCATACGGGCCCGCATTAGTTTTCTTTTTCTTTTTTAATTCTAGCCTAAACAGTGTTTTAGCCCAGAACACTGTTCACAAAGTATGTTTGCCTAAAAAAAAATGGAAAAAAACAAATTGTTTAGTTCTTTTTGTCTCTTTTTATTTTCCTCAAAATAATTGAACCAAAGAGCCGTTAAGGCACTGTTTGGCTGACCCAAACAATGCCTTAAAGGCTTTTTTGGACAAAAAAAGTTTTTAAAAAATAGAAAAAATGTTTTTTGTTTAAAATAAAAAAAATTAGTTTTTAAAATATTCCTATTGACATATAGCAATTTTAGGCACTGTTTGGCTGACCCAAATAGTGCCTTAACGGCTATATTGGCACAAAAACCTATTTTTAAAATTTTGTTTTTAAAAAATAATTATATACATATTTATTTATTTATTTTAAAAAAAACCTTTCATTGTTTATTTCAAATGATATTAGAAACTTTTCATTGTTTATTTCAAATATAAATTTTTTATTAAAAAAAATATGTCTTTATTTTCACTATAAATTAATAAATCAAATGATATTAATCAAGATTTAGTACATATTAGCTAAATAATTTAATCAACAAACAATTTAATTATTTATTTCAAAAAAAAAATATTACACAAAAAATATTCCATTATATAAACTTCATAATAATTTAAAAATAAAATAATGCAACATAAATTAAACACGTGCTTCACCAAAGCGATTCCATAAATTTTCAATTAAATCTTTCCTCAACCGCGTATTTGTCTCTTTGTTGCGAATTTGGACTTGGCGAGAGTAGATGTGTGCCGCTAAGACTGATGGATTTTGAATTAAAGTGGGAATCGAGATTCTCCTCCGGTGGCGGAGTCCATCTTCCAACATTGGCATGGCGCTTATCTTCAATGATCATGTTATGAAGGATGATGCACGTTTTCATTATAAGACACAAGTTCCCTTTATCCCAAAAACACACTAGTCCTTACGTTATTGCCCACTTGCTTTGCAAGACCCCAAAAGCTTGTTCCACTCGTTCCACATTTTTCCTACAGGCTTCCTGTCTCTGAGCAAAAAGTTGTTCTTTTGTTGTAGTTGGGTGCGGGATGGTCTGTATCAAAGTTTCCCACTTAGAGTATATACCATCAGATAGGTAATACCCCATTGTATGGTAATGGTCATTCAAAACGAAATTAACCGGAGGAATTTGGCCAGTAACGATACTGTCGAATACCGGAGAATGATCCAGCACATTAATATCATTATGTGAACCAGGCATTCCAAAAAATGCATGTCGGATCCACAAATCTTTTGAGGTAACCGCCTCCAATATGAGCGTAGACGTATTAGAGCGTCCTTTGTGCGTGCCATGCCACGCCACCGGACAATTCTTCCACTCCAGTGCATACAGTCGATAGAACCAAGCATACCCGGGAATCCTGTAACATGTCCAATTTTCGTCATTTTCTAATTTCTGAAATTTTTCGTTCATGCAAGGGCATTTTTGTCTTTTATCATTTTGCGTGCCGGACACTGTGGGGTGTACTGGTTGTGTCCAAGAGTTGGTTGGGACATTTCATTGAGTCCAGGACTCTTTGACATGCCAAGGTTGCCATTTTTGCATTTTTTTCGTTTTTCGGGCCAGACGGTTCTGTGTGGGACCCGTTACCAGAATTGTTGCATCCGGGGATCTTGGTTGGATTCATTTGCATCATATTTATTTTATCTAATGTGTTTTAAGTGATTGTGAATTAATGTGTATAAGTATATATATATGGTGTATAATGAAACTAAAAATAAAAGGGAAAATAAATTTAATTTTTGGTGGGGCCCACACATCATGTTAAAGATTGAACCAAGAGGCATTTAGGCCTCATTTCTTGCTTCCTTTTTCTCTCCCCGCTGGTTCTCTCTCTCACCCCCTTTACTTTGCTTTTTCTTTTTCTTTTTGAATCAAAACTTTGGAACTTGATTCCTCCTTTAATCTTTGGAAATTTTGAGTGCCATTTGTGGTAAATTGAAGCCCACGACGAGATCTATAAGTTGATCGGAGCAATTTTGTGTTTGGTGCACTCTAGGAGAGTTGGGATCTAGGACACGAATTGGGTCTTTTTTGCTTAGATTGAGGTAGGGGTTTCTAATTCATGTTTTTCTTGTTCCTTTGTGAGTTATCTCTCATTAATTGTTATAAATCATGTTTAATTTTGAGTTATTTATCTTGAAGATGACGTAAATGTTGTATATGAAGTTCATGATCATATATGTTAATTGAATTATATGGAAAACATGCTTATGTGTTAATTTCCTTGTCTAAGTGTTGATTTTTCTATGCCTACTATGTTGTAAACTTGTTAGAAGTGATATATGAAAGCATGTGTAGTTTTCTTAGAATTCTTGTAAAACATGCTTATTTGTGTTATATAAAATCCCTTATTGCCATGGCATTGAAAGCATGAGACATACATGCATACCAAGGGGCATGAACGGAGGAAAATGATTTGGAATAAATGAAAAAGGGATTTTTGGGGAAATGTTTTGATTAAAGTGATTTTAAGAAAACCCGGTTGCCGCGGAGTCACCAAAGGGCCGCTGTGTTAATGTAACCTAGAGGGAATTAGGGAGATCGCCCTAGTGTGGTTGAGCTATCTGGGCCCAAAATGACGTCGCGAGGGTACCAAGGGTCAGGGACAGTGG